CAAACAAGCTCATCCAAAATGGACAGGAGCCGTCCATGGAACTGCATGGCATAGGCCGACTTTGATGTGTATTGCCCTGACGCCTCGTGGGTCCATTGGATTTTATCCGTCTCTCCCTCCCGGAGCACTGGTGCAGCGTCGATGAGCAGGCGGTTGAGCTGAACGAACTGCTGCTATAGTGGCTGCGTGTCACCATGTCTCAGATCTTTGATCCAGTTGTCCTCATGTAGTGCATCCCGTACTGTCATGTTCTTGCGCTTTGAGTGGTTGAGGAGAGTTGGGTAGGCAGAGGCCAGCATGCTCGGGCCAATCCAGGAGGAGTGCCAGAAGAGGGCTGTTGATCCATCCCCAACAGTTACCATCGTCGCAGCCGCAAACAGGGCTTTGTCTTCCTCGTTGCATGGTGGTGCCGTGCCCACCCATGGGCGATTCGGGTCAGCCCAGGTGATCCAGAGCCATCGCAGCCGCAAGGCGCGGCTGAAGCGATCCAAGTCCGGAATGCCCAGGCCGCCCCTGGAGGTTGGCGCACACACTACCAGCCAGCTTATTTTGCAGCTTGCCCCGTCAGCTCATCATCCTGTTTCCATAAGAATCGACGTCTGCATTTGTCGATTTCTTTCAGCAGCTTCTTTGGAACCTTTAGGACAGTGAGCGCAAAGGTTGGCATGGCGCTGAGGACACATCGAACCAGCACTCTCCTACTTGCAATAGGTAGTAGCTTGCCCTTCCAGCCTGCCAATCTTGCTTTGATCCTGTCCAGGATGAACTGCAGGTTTGCCAACCTCAGCCTGGCGATGGTGATCGGGAGCCCTAGGTAGGTGGTGGGAAACTGCCCTATGTTCCCCCCAAAATTTTGTAGGACGATTGTTAGGTCAATATTGTTGCACCTAATGGGGAGGGCCGAGGATTTGGAAGGGTTTATATGCAGGCCCGTTGATTTCCTGAAATCTTGGAGTATGCCTAGGAGAGCATCAATCTCGTGCTGCACAGGGTTGGCGAAGATGACCGCGTCGTCGGCGTAGAGACTAATTCTAAGGTTTAGCTCCCATCCTGGTATAGGCGCGATCAGTTGCCGCTGGGTGGCCTCCTGTAGAATGTGGTGCAGCGGGTCGATTGCTAGGATGAATAAGAACGGCGACAGGGGGTCACCTTGTCGCAGTCCTCGACGATGAAGGATCCACCGGCCGGGGGTGCCATTTAGCAAGGAGGAGGATGAGGTGGAGAGCGGGAGGGCAATTCAATCTCTCCATCTAACATTGAAGCCTAGCTTTTGCAGCAGCTCTAGTATGTATTCCCATGATACATTGTCGAAGGCCTTGGCGATGTCCAGTTTTAGGAGCAGGGCAGGGGTTTTCTTTCTATGGAGTGCTTTGACACAGTTCTGGACGTATAAGAAGCTATCGTGGATACACTTGGTCCGGAGGAAAGCTGATTGTGCTGGGGAGATTAGCGTATGAATAACCGTGGCCAGCCGCAATGAGAGCACCTTTGCAATGAGTTTGGCGATGGAGTGGATTAAACTAATTGGCCGAAAGTCCGCAATGGAGGAGGCCCCATCCTTCTTTGGGATCAGGGCCACTAGGGCCGTGTTGATGGATGCAAAATTTCTACCCGCTAGATTGTAGAATTGGCTAAAAGCTGCCATGACGTCGTCCTTGATGATAGCCCAGCAGCTCCTAAAGAAAGTACAAGAGAATCCATCCGGCCCCGGTGATCGCTCAGCTGGAGAGGATTTGATCACTAGCCATACTTCATCTTCAGTGAAGGGGCTATCTAGGCCTCCGCCTTGCAGGTGAGGTAGATCGAGGGAGTTCCAGTGGATGGTGGTGTCGCGTCGAACCATCGTCCCCAGCAAGGAGTTGAAATGATCATGGATTAGTGCCTCCTTGTCTTCCTGGGAAGTGATCACCCCTGCAGGCCCATGCAAAGTGTGTATGAACTTCTTCCTGTTTCTAGAGTTGATCTTTGCCTAAAAGAAGGCAGTCGAGGTGTCTCCAGCCCGCAGCCAGGTAACTCGGGAGGCTTGCCGTTTTCTTGCCCTATCCACTGCAGCCAGCCCTAGAATTCGCAGCTTTAGTGATTTGCGAAGGTGGAATTCCGCATTCGAAAGCGCCCTTTTCTCTTGTGCTACATCTAGGCGCAGGACAATTTCGGTGGCGAGGTGCAGCTGCATCTTTGCGTCGCTGAAGAGCGAATTGCTCCAGATCCTCAAGTCTTTTGCCACACGGGCCATTTTGATGTTTAGCCTGGCGAAGGCACATCGTGCCGGCGTGGGGCGATTCCATGCCCTCTACAATTTCCTGGAAATGGTGGTGTTTGGGCCAGAACGCTTCAAATCTGAACCTAGCTGGCTGTCGGGGGGCTGCAGCAGCTGCCAGGAGTAAGGGGCAGTGATCTGAACAGGATGTGGAGGCTGCATGGAGGAGATAGGTCGGGAATAGGCCCTCCCAAGTGATGGTGCAGAAGAATTTATCTATGCTAACTAGTGTCGGGGCTCGTCGTTCGTTGCTCCAAGTAAAACGACGATTTTTGCATTTGATTTCACGCAATCCAGCTGCGTCTATGGCCGCTCTGAACTTGCCCATGATCCGGCGATTTATGTTACTGTTTCTTTTATCCCTAGCCTCGTAGATGATGTTGAAGTCGCCATTTATCAGCCATGCTTCACCAGACGGGGGTGCTACACTTGCAATTTCTGGCAGGAAATCGTCTTTCCGTACATCGTCAGCACGCCCATACACCGTGGTTAGCCAGTAGGAAGCTGAGGAGTTTGCAAGTGTTACTCTTGCTGTTATTGAGAATTGTTCTATAGCTTGAGATTGGATGGAAACTAGAGCGAAGTTCCAGAAGATTGCGATCCCTCCACGCGTCCCCGTCGCTGGGAGGACGACGCAGTCGCCAAGCCTTGCGCCTCCTATTTCTCTAGCTAGGGCAGTCGACCAGCGTTCTATCTTAGTCTCTTGGAGGCAGAGGATTGCAAGCTTGTGCGTATTGGCAGTGTCACATATGACTGCGCGGCGCGCCGGTGTGTTTAAACCTCGGACATTCCAACTCATGACTGGGTAATTGGTGTCATTCATGGCTAAACCAATTTGCACTCATCTTGCTAGGCACAGGGAGGCGGTACCGGGCATTTTGTCGACGACTGTTAATCATAGAAAGGAAATACAGGTACACTTTCGTACTATCCTGGGGCTGCCGGCGGCCACCAATAGGCCCAAAATCCCGCCGGCAGGCAACCATCCATCTACCCACTCTACGGTTACAACAATCCTGACACATGAAGGAACCTACACTACTCCAGCACCTTGCTGGTCGTCGTCGACGATGAGGGCTACAGGATGCAACTAACATGGAGTAACAGAGGGCCCCGGGGCCTCATCTACGTTGTTGTTGACACCGGTGATAGCCTTGAGCGCTGTAGGGTCGAGGCGGGTGAGCTTCACTATGGCTGCAATGTCGGAGTCCGTCAGCGGCTCGTCGAAACGGCGAATGAGGGCTTCCGCCGCCCAGGCCGTCATCTTCTCTTTTGGGCCAAGAATCCCAAGCCCGTGCACCAGCCGCAGCGTCGCCCTCTGGGAGACTGGCACCGGCAAGGGGTTGCTGGCTTGCCTGAGGCTCTGCCGCGCCGGCTGTGGCACCACCCTAGCCTTGTGGGGCGTCTTGTCTCTGGCTGGTGGTCGTCCGATCACCGCTTGTGGCAGGGGCGCGAAGAGTGGCGGCTCTGCATCAATGGCATCGCCCCGAAGCTGCAGTCTCTGTGACCTTCTGGGTAACTTCTCCTAACTGCACGGCATGGGTGGCCACCGCCGGGGGGTGTGGCGTGCGAGGGAGAGAGAAGGCCCCATGTCCAGGGAGCCGCTGCTGTCCCCCTCCGCTTCAGTGTCGAAGGCTAGTGGCTTAGCCAGCTTGGCGGCGATGATCTGGTCGATCGCCGGGGCCTGGGCGTCAGCGTGTGGGGGTGGAGGAGGCCGGGTACTCTTGTCGCCTTCGAAGAACTCAGCCACTGGATCAACTATAGGGGCCGGCACAACGGTCTTGGCTAGCGGGCGAGGAGGGGCGAGCAGGGAGACGCTGCTGCTAGTGCCCTCATCGCCGTGGAGGATTGATTGCTATCTTACTCCCTCCAGTCTTTTTTTTAGGAATAAGATTTCATTCCTACAAACCGAAGGACTTCAAATAAATCTTTGAAAATCCCATTGTATAGAATTCCTATAAACCAAAAGAGACCTTCCTTTGATCAAATGAACCGTTCATAGAAATATAGCATGCACTCATATCAGATCTGCTGGGAAAAAATCATTTGTTTGTCACGTGATGCAATTAAACAAACTCAACTCTTATATGATTTGTATGAGACTTACATTTTAATTTTGTGTTTTTTCTATTTCCGTGCTTTTACAATTGTGTAAATCAAAGAGGATATAAAGGAAAGTAGTATCTGAATTAGTATCCTTCAAAATTTCTTTGTAATACCCTTTTGAACTGAAAGAAACCTAAAGGTTCAAGATGCCAATTTCAAAACCAGAAGCTTAGGATTCACGATTTAAAAATAGTCTTTACTTATAAGCCAAAAATAAAAATCACAGCTTTTTAAGGCGCCGAGAAAATCTTTATAGCCCTCATCATTGCTTTGCTTAGCTTAGCTTCCCCATGCAGGCCAGCTCTGTGCCAAGCCCGAGCAGTAGCAGCAGCAAGCGAGCTGCTCCTCGTTTCCCGCGCCGTGCGACGAGTCGTGGCGAGTCGGCGGCAAGACGTGACGCATCGGTCGCCGCCCTCCCCTAGGCTGGCCCAGTCGCCTGCCTCCATATCCCCTTCCCATCAACTCGTTTGCCGCTCCGTATCCCTCGCCACGCCGCAACCAGTACTAGTACTAGGAGTCCAGCGTATCTTCCTCTGCCATCGACCACCCTCCAATCCATTGCCAAGGTCGGAGCCTGGGTACGTAGCTTGAGCTGTCGCTGCAGGCAGCTTGCTGGCGAGCTAGGTAGCCGGCCGCCATGGGAGTGCCTTCGTTCTACCGGTGGCTCGTGGAGAAGTACCCCAACATCGTCGCCCCCGCCGTCGAGGAAGAAGACTGTCCTGCTGGTGGCGGCGCCGCCGTTTACTTCGACAACCTCTACCTGGACATGAACGGCATCATCCATCCCTGCTTCCACCCGGAGGACCAGACGGTAACTCATATGACATATGCTGATGCACTATCTCGGTCCATGTACGATCTCGCGAGTCCTTGGTCGATCTGGTCTGGTCTCACACCTGCGATTTTTGCGCGCGCATGCAGGCGTGCCCTCCTCCGGCGACGTTCGACGAGGTGTTTCAGTCCATGTTCGACTACATGGACCTCCTGCTCCGCATCGTCCGGCCCCGGAGGCTCCTCTACCTGGCAGTAGGTTCGTTCGCTCGGCTCCATCCTCTTCTTCCTCAGCATCCAGCTTCGTCCTCAGCACTTATGCGCGCATGCTGATTCCATGGCCGCGTGCATGCATGCAGATGGCGTCGCCCCTCGCGCCAAGATGAACCAGCAGCGGGCCAGGCGCTTCAAATCCGCCAAGGCCGCCAAAGAGGCCGTACGTGAAACTTCTTCTTTTCTTCTATATCTGCATTTTCATTCCTGCAACCTTGTAAATCTTGCTTTGTTTTTCTTCCAGGAGCTTGAGGAGAATCTCATGAGGGAGAGGTTCAGGGCTCAGGGGAAGGAGGTGCTGCCGCGGGACGATACACCACGTGAGGTTTCAGACCCCAATATTATCACTCCCGGTACCGAGTTCATGGAGAAGCTGTCAGCCGCACTCGAGTATTACGTCCGAGCACGGTTGAGCAGCGATCCCCGGTGGAAAGACGTCAAGGTTTTGTTTCGGTCATGAACTTGCAGCAAATGTATCATGTGAATTGTAAACTGTTTAATACTGTATTATAAAATATCCCTGTTTCTGAAGGTGATACTCTCTGATGCAAATGTTCCTGGAGAAGGGGAGCATAAGATCATGTCATTCATCCGTGGGCAACGGAGCATGGAGAACTATGATCCGAGCACTCGCCATTGTCTCTATGGGCTGGTACGAAATTTAATAAATGCATAAAGAACTCGATTGTCTCAGTTGTATGAAGTCACATACTTTACTTAACTCTGAAGTGTTATCGCAGGATGCGGATTTGATAATGCTCGCTTTGGCGTCTCATGAAGTCCATTTCTCGATTTTGCGTGAGGTAGCTTGTTCATCCCTTATCAGTAGTAACTCCAGGTACCAATGAAATGTTGAACATGATGCAACAGCCTATGCAGCATATGGAATTTACTAGGAAGTATTTAATCTTCACTGTCAAAGTAAAACTAGCATTTTGCAGTTGCACTGGAGCTGAGAATACTCTTTTGTAAACTTAAACAGGACGTGCTACGCCAAAATCACCAGCCAGATATTTGTGTTCCAGTGACTGGTAGAAGTTTTACAGCCCAAGAGTTACCAAAAGTAAAGTGCAGAGGCTGGTTCCCCAGGATAACAGAGGCAAGATCTAAGGGCAAGTTGCCCAAGAAACCGTATCAGGTTTGTTCCCCACAATGATATTACTGGAAAGTTCTCATTCTGACTATGCGGATAACGCCATTTACACTGTTGCAGTTCCTCAACATATGGGTTCTGAGAGAGTACGTGGAGCTTGAAATGACTATACCGGGTTGCAAGCAGGACATTGATAGGCTGATCGACGACTTCATATTTATTTGTTTCTTGACGGGAAATGATTTCATTCCACACATTCCTTCACTCGAGATACATGAAGTATGTGTAGCTATATGGTTTTAGCAGCACTTGGTCATATGTGAAATGAGCTGAAAAATACATAAGTTTCTCTAATGTATGTTCCATTTGACAGTATGCAGTCGATCTTCTCATTGACGTGTACAAAACCACGTACAACAAAATGGGGGGTTATATTGTTGATACTGACAAAGTACGTGTAGGATTTAAGCCTCTTATTTTCCATTGATAATTATCCATAGGGTTATTCTAATGTTGTTTAGTTGCTACGCCTGGAAACAGATAAAAGATAAGCATGCTGTGAAAATCTCAAGGTTGGAGAAGTTCCTCCATGAACTCTCGTTGCATGAAGAGAAAATATTTCTCAAAAGATTTGAACTGCGAGAGGTATCTTCTCATCCTTGTCAAGAGTATGCATCCACTCCTACTTAGCATTCGATCATGTGTCTGTTGGTTAATTGCAGAAGTTACTTTGCAAGATACAGTGTCAAGCTGCCGAAGATGAATGGAACGAAAGAAACTATGGCATTGTGGTAAGGATTTGTTAGTCGATGAAATGTACATGCACAGAGATGTAATTGGCTCTTGTGTGCAGGAAGAAAGTGCAGATGGCCTTGAACGAGAGAGTATCTCTGCTTGCAATGATGACAAGCCTGATGTATGGGCATTTTGTTTATTTCTGTTATGGATTGAGATATTCTTGGAGATCCTTATTGATTTCCTATATGTATATTTTCTGCAAATCTGATTATGTATCTATCTTCAGGTTACTGAAAATACCTCAGAGCTGAAGAGAAATTTAAAGGATAAGCTGCGTAGTAAGCAAGATCTTTTCAAAAATGGATCCTTTAAACATGACAGGGTTAGTGACTTGGTGTTGCCTATTGGAAAGACATTTTTTTCTATGTGCCTATTTTGACATATATACTACAGATAAGACTGGGATTGCCAGGATGGAAATCCCGGTTCTACAAGGAGAAGTTCGGTGCTGAAACCTCTAACGAAATTGGGAGGCTACAGACTGAAATGGTTCTGACTTTCCTTTTTCCTGCAAATAGTCTTTATACTTCTGTGGTTTGGCAGTGTTATAACATTTAGATCGCTTAATATGTTTTTTTGTGCTGATTTAGGTCCAGAAATATTCAGAAGGATTGTGTTGGGTGCTCCGATACTATTTTTCTGATGTGCCGTCATGGAGTTGGTAGGACGAAGCATATACAAATTATATATATCTTTTTGTCTATGTATTTCCTCACATGCCGTAATATTATTGTTCTGAATTATTATGACAACATTGGTCCCAAGAGCCAATCAATTTAATCATATTCTCACACTAGTGACTTGTGAAGTTCTGATAGTTCCAATAGATAGACAAGTGTTTGATAGTACAATGTTTCTTTGCAGGTACTATCCATTCTATTATGCTCCTTTCGCATCGGATCTGAAACGCCTGTCACAGTTCAAGATATCTTTCACCGTGGACAAACCACTACGACCATTTGATCAGCTAATGGCAGTGTTGCCACCAGAAAGGCATGTTTGTTCATGAATATTATTTAATATCATTTCCTGAGAATTAATCAGTTTTTTCTTGCAGCTCATGTGCCCTTCCAAAATGCTACAGCAAATTAATGGGCTGTGAAGAGTCTGCGATACAAATGTTCTACCCGTCAGGTATATATTTGTTATCCTGTAGTTAATACTTAATAGTATCATCAGACTGTTTGTCTACTGATGTAGCCTGGAATTCACTTGTCACCAGATCTGGCGATTGATACTCATGGAAAACGCTTCTTGTGGCAAGTAAGCCTTTTGTTCATGTGCAATAAGATGAACTGGTTCAACTGATAATTTTGACGCAAACTGATCAAGTGCACCTATTTGGTGCGACAGCAAAAAAGGACTGATGCTAGTTTCCTATTTCAGGGTGTTGCAAAGTTGCCATTTATAGATGTGAAGCTGCTGCTTTCAGCAACCAAAACAGTAGAGAAAGATCTTGCAGTATGTATTCTCAACTAAAAACTAGTAGCATTCTATAAATCTGAAGTCACAAATATGGTTTCTTACCTTGTTTGCACATCAGTTGCATGAAATGAGGAGGAACACTATCCGGCAAGAGAAGATCTTACTGAGGAACTCAAACTCTCTGGCAAATAATGCAGCATTTGCGCCAATATCCGAGAAGAAGATTCTGATATCCACCAGGTACTTGGAAATCTGAACATATGAAAACCTGATAGGCAGATACTGAATTTTCTGTTCTGCTCCAAATTTCAGAGCAATCCGAACTGATCACGGACTTTTCTTCACTTTTCCATCATAATAGTGAAATCACAGGATGGTTATCCCAAGATGAGGATGGTCCAAGCAACGGCCTTTTTCGCTTGCCGATAAGAGATCTTCCAGACATCACGCATGATCAGACAATGCAAGTTTTTTCCTTCCTGAGACTACTATATTCATGCATTGGGGGTGGCTATAGGCCGTCTCATGCTGATTTATAATCTATCTTGTGATTGTTCAGATCGGCAGTGTTCTTCAATCCTGAGGCAGTGAAGCCAATCTCAAGACTGCTCGACAATGTCATCGTACCAGACAAGGTAGGTTGCTCGTATGAAGTGGCACGTGATTTTCATAGATTGATTTAGCCTCACTGATCTCTGAATGTTATGCAGACTGTTGCTGAAAGTGACATTCGGATGAGACCCATGTGGCACACGTACCCGGGGCCGAGGCCGCCGACGGTCACCTGCAGGCCAGATACCCTGTGGAAGGGGAGCTCGCCGGCGATGCAGCCGAGGGAAGAGGTGAAGAACGCCGGAACTGGGTGGATGGGGCGGGGTAGAGGAGGCGTCGGCGCCGCCCCCACCGAGGCCCATCAGATCGGGAGGAGCAGCTTCGGGCTGGTGAGAGGGGACGCTGCCGGTGGCGCCGAGGCGCTGAAGCGGACGAGCGGCAGCTACGGGAGAGGTTTCCAAGGTGGCCGGTTCGACGGCGTCGGCGACGGTGGCGCGTACAGCTTCCGACCGGGAGGCGGTTGGGCAGGAAGGGGCAGCGCGGCGCAGAAGCAGCAGCAGACCGCGTGGCGGCCCGTGGGGACGTGGGCGAGAGGCGGCGGCCGTGGCGGGAGCGGGCAGCCGCGTGCGTGGTAGAAGTACAACCGGTGGAGTAGCTCCGTCTTCGTTGTTGCCATATTGGTCTCTGCATATTTTGCAGGAAACATGAACGTTTGAGTAGAATTTGACGAACTGATGCATTTTGTGTTACCGGGCGGCGGGCAGCCCCGTGCGTGGTATAGAAGATTTGACGTCACCGTGTTTCACTGTGATTGATCCAAAAAACTTGGAAGCATCAGCGTCTGACCGTCAAAGCCATTACTACTCGATGTTTATATATTTTTTAAGTGACGTGTAATTTTTGTTCCTCGTACTGTTGGAGCACGTTTTATGGCGAATTGGGTTCTTTTGTTCGTCGCCGCGCCTAGCCGTGAATGTTCGGAGGCAAGCCTCTTCATTCAGCGGTACTGTCTGGTTAATTAAGGCTGGTCACAATGGAAAGGAACTTAGAAGTAACATCACACACTTCAATACAACTTTGTTTATGTGGCACATATTTAATAAAAAGAGAGGTGCTGGTTAATTAAGGCTGATCACAATGGGGAGGAATTTAGAAGTAACATCACACACTTTAATACAACTTTGTTTATGTGGCACATATTTAATGAAGAGAGAGGTGCTTGTGGTAACTAGCTAAGTTACCGGAACATTATACACTTCAAGAAACAATGAGTCTATAACTTAAATACATCGTTGCATGACACTACATAGATGTTCCTAGGAGGTAGTAACATAGTCTAGGGAAGTGTGTAAGTTACTACCTTATGTTCTTGCCCATTGTGACCAGCCTAACAAACGCACCTGTATGATGTGCTGCTGGCTGCTAACGTGGACACTTATACCAACAATATACATACTGTTGCGGATGCTCTTACATGTTATTCTCATCATTGCAATTTGTTGTGAAAAATAACCACAAAAGCAAACATTTTTTGTTATGCTGAACAAATAACTAGAAAAATCTGGCCGAATATATCATCCTAATCTAGGGCAATGCGAAACTACCCAAGTCTCTAGCACATTTACCATAAATATTACTTATTGTTAAAAGTGGGATCCATTTTTATCCATTGAAGCTGTAATTTGTGATTTTCATAACTCATTTAAAAGAATTTCCTTTGAAACGTCTCATTTAAGCAAGTTCGTTTAATTTTTATCCCTTTAGCGTTTTGCTGCCATCGGTTCGGTGTGGTGCACTGATGTGACGCCCCCGATTCAATCCTACACTAATCATGCACGCAAATGTGTACGATCAAGATCAGGGACTCACGGGAAGATATCACAACACAACTCTAAAACATAAATAAGTCATACAAGCATCATAATACAAGTCAGGGGCCTCGAGGGCTCGAATACAAGTGCTCGATCATAGACGAGTCAGCGGAAGCAACAATATCTGAATACAGACATAAGTTAAACAAGTTTGCCTTAAGAAGGCTAGCACAAACTGGGATACAGATCGAAAGAGGCGCATGCCTCCTGCCTGGGATCCTCCTAAACTACTCCTGGTCGTCGTCATCGGCCTGCACGTAGTAGTAGGCACCTCCAGTGTAGTAGGAGTCGTCGTCGACGTGGCGTCTGGCTCCTGGGCTCCAGCATCTGGTTGCAACAACCAGGTAGAAGGGAAAGGGGGAAAGAGGGAGAAAAGCAACCGTGAGTACTCATCCAAAGTACTCGCAAGCAAGGAGCTACACTATATATGCATGGGTATATGTGTAAAGGGCCATATCGGTGGACTGAACTGCAGAATGCCAGAATAAGAGGGGGATAACTAATCCTGTCGAAGACTACGCTTCTGGTAGCCTCCGTCTTGCAGCATGTAGAAGAGAGTAGACTGAAGTCCTCCAAGTAGCATCTCCAAGTAGCATAGCATAGCATAATCCTACCCGGCGATCCTCCCCTCGTCGCCCTGTGGAAAAGCGATCACCGGGTTGTCTGTGGAACTTGGAAGGGTGTGTTTTATTAAGTATCCGGTTCTAGTTGTCATAAGGTCAAGGTACAACTCCAAGTCGTCCTGTTACCGAAGATCACGGCTATTCAAATAGATTAACTTCCCTGCAGGGGTGCACCACATAACCCAACACGCTTGATCCCATTTGGCCGGACACACTTTCCTGGGTCATGCCCAGCCACGGAAGATCAACACGTCGCAGCCCCACCTAGGCACAACAGAGAGGCCAGCACGCCGGTCTAAACCTAAGCGCACAGGGGTCTGGGCCCATCGCCCTTAGCACACCTGCACGTTGCGAGGGCGGCCGAAAGCAGAACTAGCCCCCTTAATACAAGAGCAGGCTTACGTTCCAATCCGGCGCGCGCCGCTCAGTCGCTGGCGTCACGAAGGCTTCGGCTGATACCACGACGCCGGGATACCCATAACTACTCCCGCGTAGATGGTTAGTGCGTATAGACCAAATGGCCAGACTCAGATCAAATACCAAGATCTCGTTAAGCGTGTTAAGTATCTGCGAACGCCGACCAGGGCCAGGCCCACCTCTCTCCTAGGCGGTCTCAACCTGCCCTGTCGCTCCGCCACAAAGTAACAGTCGAGGGCCGTCGGGAACCCAGGCCCACCTCTACCGGGATGGAGCCACCTGTCCTTTCAGCCCCCATCTCCGAACAGTATCACAGGTAATGTAATAGTGTAAAGTATATGTAGTATATGCCCGTGATCACCTCCCGAAGTGATCACAGCCCAGTAGTATAGCATGGCAGACGGACAAGAGTGTAGGGCCACTGATGGAACACTAGCATCCTATACTAAGCAGTAGGATAACAGGTAAAGGTAACAATAGTAGTAGCAAGGACAGGCTATGCAGCAGTATAGGATTAACTAAAAGCAGTAACATGCTACACTACTCTAATGCAAGCAGTATAGAGAAGAGTAGGCGATATCTGGTGATCAAAGGGGGGGCTTGCCTGGTTGCTCTGGCAAGAGAGAGGGGTCGTCAACACCGTAGTCGAACTGGGCAGCAGCAGCGTCGGTCTCGGTGTCTAGTGGAAGAAGAGGGGAAGAAACAATGAATATTTAAGAAAACAGATGCATGACGATGCAAAGCGTGAAGCTAGTCGTGCCCTAACGCGGTATGAGGTGATGCCGGTGAAGGGGGGAAACATCCGGGAAAGTATCCCCGGTGTTTCGTGTTTTCGGGCAGAGGAGCCGGAGGGGGAAAGTTGCGAGTTCGATAGGTTAGGAATGCGTGGCGAACAAACGGGCTGCGTTTCCGGGTTCGTCTCATCGTTCTGAGCAACTTTCATGTAGAAAGTATTTTAGTCGAAGTTACGGATTAAAAGATATGATTTTCTAAAGATTTTATTAATTTCTGAAATTTAATTAATTATTTAAATCCAACATTATCCAGAATAGTAAATGATGACGTCAGCATGACATCAGAGTGATGTCAGCAGTCAACATTGACCATTGACCTGGTCAACCTGACGTGTGGGTCCTAGCTGTCACTGACTGTTAACTAACCTAACAGATTAATTAACTAACTTAAGTGATTAGGTTAACCTAATTAGGATTAATTAAGTTAATTAACTAATTAATTAATTAATTAACATTATTATTATTATTTTAAAATTCTTTTCTTCCTTTTTTTAATAGAATGTTCCAGGGGCTGGACCCCACTGGCAGTGGCCCATCTGGCCACTAGAGCGGGCTATCGGGGCTGCAGGAGCGGGGCGCTCGCCCAAACGGGCACGAGCGAGAGGACGCTAGGGGGCGAGGCCGTGGCCACGTCGGGGCTCGTCGGCCGGCCGTTTCCGGCGACGGAAGCCGGCGCGGCAGGGAGGCGGCCGCACGGCGAGGGGCCCGGCAGGGCGCGCGAGGAAGGCAGCAGGGGCGTCCGTCCAACGGGGCACGGCAAGGTCGTGGGTGCTCCGGGGCGCAGACAGTGGCCGTGGCCAGGGGCGCAGCCGGCCGGAGCAAGGGGCG